GTTACATCTTTTGCCCCTTCTCATATCCAATTGATCTCATCTTCTGGGCACACTGGATGATTGCATTATGCTAACCCCTTGTACTTATTGTTGTTTATGTAAATAATTACAACCTATGAAATGTGAGTTGAAGTGTTTTTTCTCACAAACAAGGTGAGACAGTGACAAATCTATGCACAATTCTACAGTTGCTTTTTCCTCACTGTCGTGACCAAACAGTCTGTGTATATAAATGATGTTGCAACTGCAAGATGGTGAAACTACCATCCCTTGGATGTCTCAGCAAAGTCTCTTTATCCTGTATAGCATGAAAGTCAAGTCAAGTTCTGAGTCAGGTTCTGTCCTATTGTCACTGGGATTTGGAGTTTTTGTTTTATCAGCATATTCATAGATTATCCTTCTTAGTACAACCATGTATATGAGAAGTAATTGTTCGCTTTATATAGCTTAATTGGTCTTTAATTAAATCAAGTTTAATTACTTAGTATCTGTCATTTTAAACTCTCTCTTAAGTGTCAAAATAAATTACAGCAGAAATTTTTATTTATTATTTGGGTGGGGGTGTTTCTGTCAGAATGTTTAACAGTTTATTTTATACTAGATTTGAGGTTCTTTGAAAAACTCACTCAGACATTTTAAAGCTGGGATCAAGTAATATTTGGGAAGTTTTGAGATAAAAATAAGTTTCCACATCTAGATGGGAGGCTTAAAGAACTAAATATATTAAGAACTTCTAAGTTAAGTGAAACTGAGACTGTTTTATAGAGCAAGACCATTAGGTCTTAGTATGTGTAGTGCAAAAGCTTAAAGGAAGTTTTAAATTCCATCATAAACATATAAATTAAACTAACCAGATGTTCACTCGTATCCACAAATCTGACTGAAACTAGATATATCTAAATGATTGACTAACTCTTAAATTTTTGTAGATAAACTTTCACCTCACTTAAATTGCTAAGAGAAAAAAATACAATCCAAACTCTAGGAAAAAATCTTCAAATCACATGCATTATAAAATATATCATGTTAAATTGTCAAATAATTGCATCCTTGGACTAATATTTATGTATTTCACACCATCTTGATGAGGTAAAGTAGCATGTTAATTCATAACCATTAAGACATAGATACTCATCCACATTCCTGTAAATTCTTACTCCCATTTGTCTGATGCTAGTCTATTTCAATAGTTTCTAATATGTGATTACATTACTGTCAGGATGTAAATTCATGAAAGATGTCCATTCATGTCACACACTTATCTCAAGTTTCAGAATAGAAATAATCACTCAGCAACCCAAGGGAAGTACCACGAGGAACTTTTGAATGACCATGATGTTGAAACCATTTCCTTTCACTGATTATTTTACAGATTTCTTTCTTTATTAGCAATTATTGATTTCTACTCAAGGCATGGATTATGAAATAGAAACAATTTTGTGTTTTGGGAACAGGCTTGAGTCATTTTAACCTGGCTTGTGCTTATGTAGGAGGGGACAGGGCTTCAAAATATTTCTAAATAATTGGAATTAAGAGATAATGGCATTTTCCCATGAATTTCTTGAAGCATCCTCCTATAAATTTCTAAAGGGTCCTGGATATCCTTGCATTCTGCCTATTTATGCCACACTCTTTTAGGTCAAAAGTTGTCTGAAGTGTTTGTCAGATAGCCTGGAATTGGAATCTTCTTCAAATGCCTGTTTAGACTGCAGACATGTCATTCAAAGATGTCTATACTTCTCCAATTTTTTTCATTTTCTCCCCTTTTTCTATATTTCACAGCTTTGAAGAGGAACAACATTCAAATAATTGGTCTTTCAAAACAAGGTACAGTGAAGAAGTCAACAGTTAAATTAACATGGGAATTCCTGGAAGCAAACTTCACCACCTTAATGAATGAGAATCAGACATTCATTCATGCAGAAAGCAGCAGTGAGGTCAACAATTAGAACAAATCCCAGGAAGAACTCACCAAGGCACATAAAAGTTAAATTATCCAACTTTGAGGAAAAAGAGAAAATTTTAAGAGCAGCAAGAGAAAAAACGGTGGCCAGAGACAAAGATTCTCAGGTAAGAATATGCTGAGACCTAACAGTAGATACCATGAAGAGGTGGAGAGAGTGGAGTAACATCTTCCAAAATCCAAAAGAAAATTGTGCCAACCCAAGAATCCTCTACCCTGCGCTGGTAGTTTACATAATCTGTTGTCAGTTTGAGGTTTAAGAGTGAAGGGGTAGAGTTTAACATGTTGATCAGATTGCAGCTTGATGACCTCATTTGAAGACGCTAAGGAGGTAAATAGCTCATTGGAGACAGGACACAGGCTCACTCCCTGAGACACATTGTAGCTCTCAAGACACATGGAACTATGCTAGTGCCCTGAGCTGGAGGAGCCACAAGATGATCCCTGTCAGTGCAGAGGTGCTTGCAATGCTACTGGATCCACAGGACTTCCAACTCACTGGCCTGTGATCTTCCTGCATTCAGCATCATTGCACATGTTTTGTGAATCTGAAGAGAACATTATAGATTGGTGTTGCACAAATGGGCTAATATCAGACTTATGGACTTGATCTGGACTAGCCTAGGATGCTTTCTTAATGTACAGTTACTCTTTATATAAAGCTCTTTCTTTCTTTTCTTTTTTTTTTTTTTTATGGAACCATGATTCTTGTTTTAATTAGAGAAAACTATGGGTATATATTTATAGGTTTAGTATTAAGGTAGCAGAAGGGCACCGGGACTCCACTCAAACACTCCCTCAACGCAAGAACAC